CTAGCGTAACAAGAGAGTCAGACGTCACCCAAACCATTTAAAACATGATGTGGAAAAGTAACAGAATACATCTTTGGGGAACAGTAATTCACCAGCCATCCCCTTTGGAGGATAAACAGACACATTAAGGACAACTCAACCAACTCTGCATACGAGTGTGGAAGACAACCTTTAATACAGAGGAAGCTTAAGTACAGTAGATGCCTATGTTTCAGAATCAAGTCTCATCTGAGGTTTTCTGTTTATAAACAAATCGATGTCACCAGAGTCAGACTTTGTTAAAAATAAATCCCTTAAGTTACACGTCCATATACACCTGTAGTCCAAAGGACAAATCTGAAGAAAAAGAGCAACACTTCTGCTGCCTAAGAGCCAGAACCAACACAGATGACATAAGGTAGAGAGAGATTCTAGCCTCAGGTATATCCAGAAGCAGATGTGTGAACAACTGTTTTTATTACCCACCAGAACACCTCATAGCCTCATGAGAAGTAGCAAATGGTAAAGGAATTTCCAGATTTAAACCTATCCCCAAATAAACATAGCTTCCCTGGTCTCCAACAAAGCTCTTTGCCTTTCTTGAGCCAGATTCAAACAAGTTAACAGTTACCTGCTCCCACTGCTCTTTCATCTTAACCTTTCCCAAGGATACTTCAGGCTGATAGAGGCAAAGTGCCTCTCTCATATGCCTATGATTTTTATCCCAACGCACATAGTGAGCAGAGACCGTGCAGCTTGTCTAAAATACTAGCAAGACTCATCTGCCTCAACGAAAACAATAAAAGGTACTTTAAACAAACTATGTAGTGAAACCTACAGCAGTGTTCCTGCCCTTTGAAACAAACTCTAGATTTCAATTTAAAAAACTGGACAGGCATTATTTCTTAGACCATAACTACTGTCTACCAGTGCATGCCAGTGATTATACACTCACTATTTAGCTGAGTCGGAAAGCTGATATTCTCTTCTCCTGTCGTAACACTCTTGTATTCCAGGGTCATTCCACAATGTTTTAATTGCACTTACATATGGCTGCTCAAATGTCATGACCTTTTCTACATCCACTTCCCGGATCAGCACTGCATTGGCCTGGAGATTGAAAAGTGAAAAAAAAAAAAAAAAAAAATAAGAAGGGGGGGCAGGAGGCAGAGGGTTGGTCAGTGCGAAGTATCCATCTAAGACATAGCAGACATCAGCAAAATTCCCCAAAGCATCACATGGTCCTTCACAAAGTGAGCTGTAAAACAGCAGCAGGTTTCACCTGTCATTAGATCACCAAGTGTTTTGAAACACAGTGGTTTCCAAGGCAGAGCATTCACTGTGAAGAACCACAGACTGCCCAAATTCTGAGGATGTTCAACTGCAGTTGGGTAACAAGTTGCTATCTCAGGTTTCTTGCAAAAAAAAAAATTAAACTACATTTTGAATAGCAATAGAGACATTATTTCAGCCTACTTCAGTCATGATCCCTATTGAGAAAAAAAATACAAATGTCCACTCTACAACCTATAAGAAAAGGAAGAACTACAGTCACTACAACAGCCTGTGGCATCTGTGAGGTTATTAACCACACCAAGCTGCTTTCTGAAATCTTTAGTACACTTGCCACAGGAAGGGGCTTTTGCCTACACCACCTATATCAGGAAAAAATAAAAAACAGAGCCAAGTTCTGCACATGTTATCATAAGTAAAAGTTGGCAGATTATACCTATCGAAACACCTCCACCATGCCCCAGGTAAAGTGCAGGCTAGACAAGCTTCCTCACACCCTGCCTCTTCTCATCACTGAGACTGCAGAACCTCTCTAAAGGCAAAACGGGTGTTCAGACTCAAGAACTCCAGGTGCACCATTCAGTCCCTACAAACAGCTGTTAAAAATCAGCTCCAAGATACTGTGCGACAGAACAGATAAAAAGTAATTTAACTTAAAAATATTAAGGTACTAAGCATTAAAGAAGCCAAACGTAATAAAAAAATCTAATTTCTTGGTGCACCCTCACCCTCCTTGTCCTCCTCCAAAAAAGCTAAAATAATTTAGACCAGATCTGGCTGAAAAATTTATTCCTGGACCCAAAATCAGTAAGCCAGGCTTCAGTTCAAACCACATTTCTGTGGCTGAGACCAAAATCCTTCAAGAAAGGTTTGTACCTTTGGTCAGTACCAATCAGAAAAACTGAGAGATTGCAGTAATACTGATATCTACCAGTAGAGATGTCTTTTGGGTCCAGGATGTATTTTGTCACCTTCAAGTTCCGATGTGAATAGTAACTCAGGCAGAGAAAAGCCTGACACATTTAACAACACTGAATCCTTGAAACAAGTAAAAAGAACACCTCTCCTATATCCTATCCCAATCCCTTGCTCCCACCACTCACTATGCAGACCAGTGCACAAACCATCCTGAGAAAGTTGCTCTGTCCCTTAGTACAGCCAAGTAAATTGAGTCAGATATCAGCAAAATGTCAGAAAAAGCAGTCCTTAAGCACAAAACATTTACAGGAAAGAGTTCAGGGAGGTTAAGATTGCAATGCAGAAGGACACAAACAAATAGAAACTTATGAGTCAAACTCTAGAATCCCCATTGCCTAAAGATACATGCAAAAATTGTGAGAAACTTACCTTGTTCTGTTCATATTTGTACAGAATCTTCAGGGTTTCCATGGCCCTGATCATAGACTGCATGGCAGTGAAGATGTTTTGGTACACCAGCTTGGTGAAGCCTTTTTTGTCCTCTTCGGAGTAGCCTGAGCCATGAATGATACGCATTTGCTTAATGAACGTGCTTTTTCCACTCTCCCCAGTGCCTACAGAATGCAAGAGAGAGAGTTAGGAGCCATCACAAGCAAGGTTTGCTACAGAAGAAACCAAGCTAACATCAATCACATCATACTCTTACTATGCCCAGGTACACACTACTTCCAACTACTCTTTTATCCACTTTCCAGACTACTAAAAGACAGTCTGGGTGGTCCTGCTCATCCCCACAACAAACCTAGCAGAAGAGACATCTTGTCCTTTACAACAGCCTTCAAAAGCAGCTCTGGTACTTATTCCAAATCTCACATTACAGCCACTCCCACACGTTCTGCGTCAAAAAGCCCTTGTCCGTCACACCTGACCTATTCCCAGATACTCCAGCGCGATGCTACAGTCACAGCACCAGTCAGAGGGCCCAGATGTGCTCTCGACTGGTGAGCGCTGCAAACTGAGACGTGCGTGAGTGGGCCTGTTTGCGCAGTAAAGGGTGAACTTTCTTTTGCTGTGATTTGTCACAAAATGCTCTT